TTAAGGAGGGCACTTGTTGTGATGAGCACCAGGTGATGTATGGAAGTGCTGAATCACTATATTGTACACCTGACACTGATATTACACTGTAGGTTAACTGGAATTTAAATAAAAACTTAAATAAATAAATAGCACACTTTCAAATATCCCAAGGGTTAACCAAAAAATTCACAAAAGAAATTAGAAAATAAGTAGAACTAATGAAAACAACAACTAAAGAATCAAAATATGTGGAATAATATGTTGGCTAATTGAACATAATAATTAAATAAATAAATATAATAAATATATGGAATATACCTAAATTATTGCATTTATATCATTAAATACTTTATCAGAAATGATGGTCTCAAATAAGTAATCAAAGTTTTCACTTTAAGAAACTAGGAAAAGGGGTGCCTTGGTGGCTCAGTCGTTAAGCATCTGCCTTCAGCTCAGGTCATGATTCCAGAGTCTTGGGATCGAGTCCCACATTGGGCTCCCTGCTTGGCGGGAAGCCTGCTTCTCCCTCTTCCACTCCCCCTGCTTGTGTTCCTGCTCTCACTATCTCTTTCCCTGTCAAATAAATAAATAAAATATTTTTTAAAAATTTAAAAAAAGAAACTAGAAAAAGAATGGCAAACTAAACTCAACACACACACGTGTTCATGTATGCACACATGCACACACTTGTGTGCATGTGTGTACACACTCATGTTCATGTGTGCATACATATTAGTGTTCATGTATGTGCACACATTCGTGTTCATGCATGCACACACACTCATGTTCATGCGTGCATATACACATACACACACAAAGGAAACAATAAAGAGGAGACGAGACACAAATGACACAGAAATGTTAAAAAAAGCGGGGCGCCTGGGTGGCTCAGTTTGTTAAGTGGCAGCCTTGGCTCAGGTGGTGATCTCAGGGTTCTGGGATTGAGCCGCTGTTGGTCTCCCTGCTCAGTGGGGAGTCTGTTTCTCCCTCTCCCTCTGCCCCTCACCCCTGCTCATGCTCTCTCTCTCTCCCTCTCGAATAAATAAAATCTTTAAAAAAAAATACATGTCATTCAGTTTGAGTCAGTCTTTATCATGGTAGAGTTAGGTTCACATTATACATCCCTTCCTATTGCCTCATCCCTCAGTCCAGCTCCTACTCCTCCCCAACCCACACTGGTTGCCTTATGTGTTCCTTGATCACTCTGGGCAAAAATTCATCTTAAATTCATCAATTCCTTGAAAACTCAGCTCAAAATCACCTTCCCACACTGAGACCTAACCTGAAATCTATTTTAAATTGCAAAGCCCTTTACCAGGGCACATCATAGATACAGAGCCTTGTGGTGGGCTTTTTGTCTCTTAGTGCTATTGTTTCTTTGTTTTCATCTTTTCTCATACTGCATTATTCTTTTGCTATTTGTTTATTTTCTCTCACTCACCCAGAATATAATCTTTTATAGATGCTTAATATTTATTGAATGCTCAGTGGGTGTTAATACAATTCTTTCATCATAGCTATATGCTTTTATTCTTGTGAATTTAATCAAAAATATTTTTAAAATTTCAAAACCCACTTTCTCCCATCCATTGGACCCTGTACTAGCCCCCTGAGTAAACAATATAAACCAGATATGAACCTTGTCTATATGTAAGACACAGACCAATGACTTCTGAAAAGTGAGAGGAAAGGAAAGTACACATCAAAATATATAACAGAGATCAGTTACAAGGTATTCAGAGGTGAGATTAAGATGGAGTTATTTCTGAGAAATTACCAACTCCTTTCCTTAGCTCTGTGCAGGGAAAATGCAGTAAGGAGTTGAGCTAAAAAATCAATGGAAAGGTTTGTCTAAGATGATGGAGGACAAGTTCTGAATCAAGGTTTGTCTAAGATGATGGAGGACAAGTTCTGAATCAGGAGTAGACACCAGAGTGTCGTGGGGTGCTGCTGAGGTGAGAGTAAGCCATGCGCACTCAAAAGAGAACAAATTCCCTGTGGCTGGAGCTCCAGAGAGACAAGTGACCATGGGGGAGCTGCAGAGATGCACAGCAGTCTGATCATCCAGCCTCTTTCATCAGGCTGGCCAAAAGTCTGGTGATTTATCAGGAAGATTCTGGACAGCTTCCCAGAAGTTATCAGGACAAGAAGAGTAAAAGGATAAGTTTCAAGAGTGTCTTCTGCCCGGCATAGCCCTTAAGATCCCTTTCCCTCCCACAAGTCCAGATAAGCACTCTTGTCTCTCCCGGCTCTGTCCAGGAGTTTGGGCTTTTATGAAGAGGGAAAACAGAGCTCCATCTCATAGGCTTTGCTGGAGGAAAAGAGGAAGAGATTTTCTGTATCTGAAAAAAAAAAGTTATTCTGGCTCACCTTGGCAAGGTAGAAAAGTCGAAACTACAGAATAGAAAGAAGATGAGAGTAATTCAGCCTGGAGAAATAATGATCCCTCCAAGAAACAAACAAGGCTCTCAGTGTTCTTAAGTCTCCCTTTTTCAGCGGTCATGCCACCCCCAGACTCAATGCACCTCTCTTCTGCATTAAACATACAAGCTGGCTCTTGGGTGAGTTCAGAGCAGCTTCAGAACCACAAATTAAACTCATCCAAACACATTCAATCTGTTCCTCCCAAACTTCCTGCCCTTTGCCTTCACAAACTGCCCCACAAACCTTTAGGCTGAAGTGCAGAAGTCTTGACTCAGTGGAGATCAGATGCAGGTATGGGCAAGATTCACTCACCAAGCCAGAAAACTGGTCTTCACAAGGGAGTTTCCCTAGAGAAACTGGGAAGAAATGAAACTTAAAATCTGAGAAGGGGAAATGAAAGAAAGGAAGTAGAATTGAAACTTACAAAACAATAACAGTGGGGGGGGGCATCAGGTAGGGTGCCAGGAAAGGGTATGTTCTAGGACTTGCACCAGCTAAGCACTCAGTCACTACATTTTTATTCCTGCCCTGGCTTACTTTGGCAAGAATGTTTGTGTAAGAAAAAATGTGAAGTACAATGATACAGCCTGAATACTCAGCCTTTCAATTCAATCCTATAATTATTTGTTGAGCTTATGCTATATTCAAGCCCCAGGCAAGCCACAAAGGATAAAGTAATGATCTGGAAAGGCATGGCTCCTGAACTCTTGAAGACTGTGGTGGGAAAGATAATCAGTTATAAAACTCTGTAAATATGAGCAGACATAGTGACTATCAGCAGCCATCATTGTGAATAGTAAAAATAAAATTTAAAAGTTTCTTCAGTGTGAGCCTATGGAGAAAATTTTTCCAAAATGTCATTGAATCTTAGGAGTATACCAGTTAGCTACCAGTTCCTATTTCTTATGCAGGCAGGTAAGAAAGAAATTAACCATAGTAGAACCAAGTCAGTGCCTTGTTACCCAACAACTAGGAGGCAGGTGAGAACGTGGAGGTTCTACATGGTAGTATTCAAGCATAATCTTTTACTGAGTAACACACCTCCATAATTTTTCTACCTTTCCACACTTCCTTTGGGAAAAATTTGTCCTTTTTAATCTCAGTCAAAGGCAGGACTGAAACGTCTTGTATTTCCTATACAGACTTTTGTGCTGTGTGTCTATCTTGTTCTTGTTCTGATGACATGTTCTAGATGGGGCAATTGCATGATGGTGGAAGCTCCACCACGGACCCCTGACTGGCAGAATTGCAGAGCATGGCAAACTTCACACATGAACCGATGGGAGACCCTGTAGGGTGACTGAGAAGCCAATATTTGGTGAATTAAAGCACAAAGATTTTGGTATTGTTTGTAACCCACAGAAATGTAAAGTAATCATGGCTTAGAAACTCCTTTTGAATCACTTACATCTACGAGGCAGGAACTGAAAATCATGCAGGCATAATCACTGAGCTATACTGAAGTAAGTTTTTCATAACAATGAATAAACCTGTGATGCTTTTCAAGTGCAATCATAATCACCTACATTTTGTACAAATTACATTCTGAGAGCTGGCATTTTTTATCACCTTTTTATCATATAATACTATCATCGAGTATCCTTCCTCATGCAGCTCTGCACCAAACAACAGTAAGTTTTATCAAGGCAGGAAGGGAACTTTTCTGTGTTGTTCCTTTTTGTCCCAGATCTATTACAAGGTGCTGCACATAGGGAATGATATTAGAATAGAAAAACAAGCAGTTATACAACCCTAATATTTTAATTGCATTGAACATGCTGACGATAATCAGAGTTCTGTTCCACTATTGCCCTTGCAATCAACGTAATTGCTGTGGTGCATGTAAATTCTGGTATGAACACTGATACCAACTCCTTTGAAAAATGTTAAATAACAATTTTTCCTGTCTTCTCTGTTTTGTTTTTAAAGTTTACTCAGATACTTATCTCAATGCCTGTTGTTTATTTGTTCTGTATGAGCACAATCAAACCACATTACTTCCTGTGGCCTGTGGTTTTTTTCAGACTGAAACAGTTAAAATTCATGGGCCCAAAGTGGGAGATCTCTCATTTAGATTCCTTCCCAGCAGGAGGTATAGGAAATGGAGGGGGACACAAAGCCCTAAGGAGGACTTTTTATTCCCTGATACCCGAGTGCATAGTAAGCTGGAATATGGATCACAGCAATGTGGTGAGCTCCAGAGACAGACTTTGGGTGGTAGGAGAAGGAGCAAGGTTCATTCAGGTTTCCGACCAAAAGCCCATGTTTCTTTGTATTGACAAACTCTGATTTCTTCACTGATTTCTCCCACTTTAAATCTGATGTCTCAGAGGTGGTTCCTGGGACATCAGCCAGTGCCATCCTCCTACCCTCCTACCCTCCCACCCTCTCATCCCTCTTGGGCCTCTGATTCCCTCCCACATTTTCCAGATGAATTTTTTGTTATCTCTTCTCAGACAAGCTCAAAAACATCAGGTCCTCTATGTAAGTGTAATTTTCAAATTATAGATTGATCCAAGGTTTTACAGCCCAAAACTGCCTATCTCAACTTACTCAGAAATGCATAAGGGGTACTGGGTGTTTGAGTTTGGGAAGTAAGGGAGTTCTTGAGGGCTAAATAGAAGGAATCCTGATTAAAAAGTCAGCTTTTACACCCTGTACTGCCAAACATCTCTTTCTTCACATTCCAGAAGCTCTTGCCCTCATAAAAACTTCTCACATGAAGTCTGGAGGGAAACTTTAGGTGTCTGGGGCCCAGGATGTGAGGTCAAATCAGAGATTCAAAAGGAGTAAAAGGGTGAATATGGGATTTGTAGGAGGCATGAGAAAGGAGGAAGTATTAGGAACTCATCTCTTTTGGTCCTCGTAATAAACTCACCTATCCTGCCCCTGTTCACACCCCATAAATACACACACACGTGGAGCCCTGCACTCCCCTCCAATTGTCAGCAAGATTTATAGAGCAAAAAAAGACTATCCAAAGTCACATCTACTGTACATCTCTGCCTTCACCATCACACACCATATCATCCCTCTTCTCTTTTCTGACCTGTGATAATGAAAAAAGGGACAACCACTTTGAAAAACATCTGGCAATTTGTTATAACATAAAATATGCATTAATTCTAAAAACCAGTAAGTCGATTTACAGTATTCACTCAAAAGAAATGATTGGTCTGGATTTTTAGAGGAGTGGACAGGGAGATCTCACCAAGGCCTGCCTGAGGAACCACTACAGAAACAATTCTGGAAGAAAAGAGGGGAGAACTGGCTTTTCTTCATTCCTGAGGACTGTCAGAGTCCATCAGCTCACTGGGAAGAATGAGGCAAACCAGGAGAAACCAAAGTTTGGCTTAGGACATTGTTGAGAAATCCCACAAAGTACTCTGGACTCTTCCCATATTACCATGAATAATGATTGAGTAAAGCCAGGCAAACAGAAGGAGATTTCCAATGAAATAGAATTACTGCAGAAACAGGGGAGGATATTAACTTTCCAATAATATATTCAGTTAAAGAGGCTATTATAATTATAAATAAGACTGGGAAGCTATGAAGGTGATAAGAAAAAACTCATAATGCTAAAATATTTTACAATCAGATAAAATTCTTTTAGAAATCTGTAATTATTTAAGCAATTTATTCTATTAATTAAAACCAAGCAAAGGCAATAATTTAGAAATCAAACTAATATGTGTTTTTTAAATAATTTATTTCAAAGTCACAGGTAAAGGGAATCAGGAAAATAACAGACATCATTCTAAATCACTGCTCATCTGTTAGGAAATAGTAGCAATTATTAAAAATATTCTGTTATTTAATTTTCACCATAACTCATTAAGCAATTTTCATTACTTTTTTTTTTTATAAATGAGGAAGTATATCTCATAAAATTTAGTTTATTTGATAAGGACCAGTATGTGGCAACATCAGAATTATAATAAAAGTCCACCTGTGATACAGAAAGAGAAATACTGCGTTTATGTGCAGGCTCTGCAACAGTTACACTAGGAAGTAGAGATTAGAATTGTGGTTGTCAGGAGCTAGGAGCTGGAGGAAATGGGGAGACACACACACACACATACATACCACACAATGGTAACCATGTAGAGGTGATGCATGTTTATTAGCCTAATTGTGGTGATCATTTCACAACATATACATGTATTCAACCATTAAGTTGTACACCTTAAATATTTACAGTTTTTATATGTCAGTGATATCCCAAAGCTGTTAAAAAACTGAAAACAGGTCTGCCTATGAGGGGTGTGTGTGTGTGTGTGTGTATCTAAAGCAGAACTGGAATAGTCTTGACAGTGGTGACAAGGATCTGAAAAATGGGGGAAATTGAGGAAAGTGTACAAAGCATGTCTCTTTCTTATTTCTTACAAATGTATGTGAAGTTACAGTCATCTTTTATTTTTTAAAAATGTTGACAATTTTGGGAATTCTTCTTTAGGGTACAAGTTTTACTTTGGTTTTGCATCCTTGGCTGAACTTTGCTTCCAGGTGGCAGACAGGGCTCAGGCAGAAGCATGAGTATTCAGAAACCTGTTGGTTTTTCCAAAGGACTGGGCAAGGGGCTCAAGAGAGACAAGTGAAGAGAGGAGAGGTTGCAGAACTGTGCAGGGGCCCCATCATCAAGCCTCCTTTACATAGTTAAAGGGAGCACTGGGAATTTTTCCATAGGATTACAAACATACTATATATTTACAAGTACAAGAAGCAAATGGACCGGCTTTCCTAGATTCCTCTGGCTTTAAAATAATGAAGTCTCCTCATTTCCTTTTCTCTCCTGAAGCAGGGCAGACAGAGAGATTATCTGCTGTCCCTGACTACAGAAGTGACCCAGATGCTGGGCTATCAAAAGGAGCATTGCCTCGTATACTTTGGACACCTATAATTTCATAGTTTTGTACACTTTCATTATTATGATCCTATCACATTTTCTGCTACTTCTAGAAGACATTTTTATATTCCTCAAATTATTCATTGTAACGATGGGGTGACAGGAAGGCAGAGGTCAAAGGGAAAATTTAGAAGATCAATTTCCTCCAGTTTCTAGGGATGAGTGCTGAGGTATAGGTGTGTGTGTGTGTGTGTGTGTGTGTGCACCTGCACACACATAGATTCCAGAAATATTCACCTTGGAATCCTTTGTGTCATCAAAGGTCATCCAAAGATGAGGCAGATGGGGTTCTGGGGATAAGCAGGAATGAGAGCAGATGCTGTTTAACCAGACAGCCCATTTTTTTTTCTCCTAGCTCTGAACATAGTTAAAGAAGAGTTGGGAATACAGGGCGCCTGGGTGGCTCAGTCGTTAGGTGTCTGCCTTCGGCTCGGGTCATGATCCCAGGGTCTTGGGATCAGGCCCCGCGTCGGGCTCCCTGCTCAGAAGGAAGCCTGCTTCTCCCTCTCCCACTCCCCCCGTTTGTGTTCCCTCTCTCGCTCTCTCTCTCTCTCTCTCTGTCAAATAAATAAATAAATAAATCTTAAAAAAAAAAAAAGAGTTGGGAATAAAAATGCTAAAAGACACAGGGATCCCACCAAGCCCCAAATGAACATCCATTGCAGAGATAACTCCCCTCCAATCTCACCGAAGGAGGAGAGCAGGATTTCCCTCTTCCTTCCTGAGAAGTTTCAAGTTGTTGCAAAAGGAAAGCTGATCAGACAAGCAAAACACTTACCTACACCATTGTCAAGAAATCCACTATTGTACTTCTCTTACTGTATCACTGTGAATAATAACTTTTTAAAGCTGGGCAAACAGCCCAAATTGAAATTCAATTTCAGTGAAATAGAATTACTGCAGAAAAATGAAAAAAAAAAAAAGACTAGGCAGCTATACAAAAACATTTATTAGCTAAGATTGAAATAAAATTGTAAAAAAAAAGAAAAGAAAGAAAATTGTAATTCTTTAATCAAGTTATTTTATTTCTTAACACAAAACAAGTGTACTAATGTTGAAAGTAAGCTAATATGTATTCTTAAAATCATTTATTTTAGTCCAAATGAGAGGGGGCCAAAAAATAAATAGACACCTACTAGATCCCTTCTTACGTGCTAGAAAACATTTTGTTGGTTAATTTTCACAATTCTATATCAGGTACCTTTCTTTTTTTTTTTTTTTACAAATGAGAAAACTGAATCCCATAGAATTTCATGAGACACTGACACAGCTTATATTTTCTAGGAGCAAATATTTATTAATAAATCAAGATACTCAGGGGCACATGGGTGTCTTAGTAGGTTAAGCATCTGCCTTCAGCTCAGGTCATGATCTCAGAGTCCTGGGATGGAGTCCCATGTCCGGCTCCCTGCACAGTGGGAGTCTGCTTCTCTCTCTCCCTCTGTCCATCCTCCTGTTCTCTCTCTCGTTATTTCTAAATTTAAAAAAATAAATCAAAACACTTAGATGTTTATACTTAATGGCATTTATTTTCTTACAGTGATCCTAAGCATGGTGCAGTTTTTACACCAAGATGATTTTAAGAAAATAAACACATCATTTATGTACATTATTCAAGGTTACACTGCATTGTGTGGAGAGACAGAACAGGAACTCAAACACTCTGGACACAAAACTATCACTCTTAGTTATTATTTTTGATGTTTTTTTCTGAATGAAGGGTGTTCAAATGGAGAGAAGGAAGGCAGCAAGGAAAAGATGATGAGAATGGTGCAGATAAGCTCAGTGCATCAGCTGCACCCAAGGCAAGAGGCACTACAAAGAAATGAGTATGGATGTAAGAAGGTTCAAGAGCTTGGTGAGCACAGAGTATGGGGTCATTACACTCCATAGGGTTGAAATACAGAAAAGCTTCCTGAGAAAAGGAACGTGAAGAGAATTTGTAGATGAGAAACCCGTGGTTTGTGACATTGAAAAATGAGACAGTGCCAGCCTCACAGTCTAGGAAAACTCCAACACAGTGGGGAGGGACAAGCAGGGCCAGGATTAAGATGAAGGGATCAGAGAAGGATGACTCCTCAAAAGCATTATATTCAAGTTGATCTGGCACCTTTTAATGCAGTAGTCATATTTGGTTGAAACCTAGAGTAAACATGTTGGTAATTTCAATCATGTCTAACATGAAATTTCACACTGGGTTCTGGGCATTTTCCATTATATACCTCCAGAATCTACCTCCAAGTAATGTTTCCCCAATCCAATAATGAGGGATCCCAGAACATCATAATTGCTATTATATGCATTATTTGGTTTCCAACAGCACACACACCTCATTTGTCTTCGATCTGTAGAAATAGGCAGCATATGTTGTATTTTAGAGATGATATGGAGTCATGTGAGGTGCAGAAAAATTGGGGCTGGGTGAGAGACATGACTTAGCTTTGTTTGTGACACTGTGGGAGGGATCTTGGGAATAACGTGAGTGGGAACTAGGAAGAATTCCGTCTGTTCTTGGGAGAGGTATAACACTGCAGAAGCAGAATATGTATGTATGTGTTGGAAGGGAAAACAAGGGTGTTGGAACATGAGACCTACTAGGAATGAAAAATTCTGAAAGGTGATGAGAACAAGGTGGCTTGATGACACTGATTTCTCCTCACCTCAGTAGCACTACATGTGTCAGCTCTCAAATAATAAAAGACCATAATCAACACAAAGGAGACAGCCCTGAAATCTCTTTCCCCTGAAGATTAGGGGAAGGACTGGGGACTATGGAGAGGTAGTGAACTGGTTAAGGAGAGTGTGCCCCAGACACCTGGCCACTTCCCATTAAATATGACCATATCATCAGCATGTGATGTCCTTTGTCTTCTCTCTCCATACCTAGAAGTTGTGCCCTTTTCCCCATTTAGCCCCTGCCATCACAAGACTCCCACAGCCAACCACTTGCTCCAGCACTCCTCACCTCTAAACGCTTCTATTATCACTTTCAGATCAGGAATTCGGGACACTTTCCTTTGTTCCTTGAGAAACATGTTTTGTTTCTTCAGACTCAAGTTCTTACTCCTAAGGATGACAAAAATTGAACCCCACACTTCTGAATTTTTGTCCTTCCAAAATGACTGACTTCCTATTCATCCTATTGAAGAGCTTGAGCCCTCCTCCCCAGAGACCCTGAGAAAGAGGAGAGCAGACTCCTGACCTTGGAGCCAGAAGAAATGTGTTCATGTTTACCTTCCCAGTTACCTTCTGTGTGACCTTGGGAAAGTCTTGACCTCTCAGAGACACAGTTTCTTCCTTCCAAAATTAAATCATCAACCTCTCCCTCTCTATCTCCTAGAAATTATATGAAATAATGGATATAACAAAACAAAATTTTGGTACCTTGAAAAAAACTTAATGTGTGGAAAAGCCACTGCATGGATGCAGGTTCCCAGGCCAGATGTTCAGAAAGTGAAGTTGCAGAACCTGGCTCCTGGATGTTTGGAACATATCAAGTGTGGGAATATTGTCTGGGGAGGACCAAGATCTTTAAACTCTGCTCCCCAGTAGGGAAGCCCTCAGAATAACATCTGAGCTTTTAGGTTCTCTGGTAAAATTTGCAAACACTTAGAACAGAAGACACGAACACCAAACTAATGATGGCCTGAATTTCATGTGTTAGGAAAAAGCTTGATGCTGTCAGGTAGGTGTGCAAATTTATACACAAGGATGTTACCTTTCCATTCTGGCTTCTAAAATGTGTGACGGAGATGGATCACTTGTGTGTATACTAGGGCCAAAATATTCCATGAGATTCAAGGTTGCTTTTGGAAATCTAAACAGAGCCATATAGAAGGTCTCTTCTATTCCCAGGGCAGAAGTTTAAATATAAGGGAACTGTCTCCAACTCCAGGTGCTTGGCTATGAACTTCCCATAGCCAAGCTCCTATGAAATATAAGTACCTGAGTTAGTTACGGGCATGCAAGGTGAATAAAATTTATGAAGTCACAGGGGTCCCACCCCTTATCCACAGTACTGCTACTGACCCAAACTGTGTGACTTCCCACCACCCACATTCCCTCCCACAGAACCTGGTCCATTGTCAATAGTTACAGAACACTCAAACCACAATTTGTGAATAGAAATTTAACATATAACTACACCCAAATTGTCCTGCCTTGAGAGATGTTTTATTCTAATTGATCACCATAGAACTCTAATGACTTTAAACCTCTTTTCACTGCACAAAAGGACCATCTCTGATCCCCCACACATACCTTTCCATGATGTGATTCACATCCTAGGGAAAAAAGGGAAGACGTGAGTCAAGAGGTAATAGACCCTTCTCATTTACAAAGCTTCATCACATCCCCACCAACCCCATGGTAGGAGTAAAGATGGTCTCAATGTGAGAGCAAATAAGTAAAAATAAGATCCAGGCTAATCATTCCAGAAGACATGTGAGGTTGTCAGATGTCCTAAAAGGTAGAAACAGCTTTGAGCCTTGTAGAATTATAGCATGAAGCTTCTAGTATCTGGAAATGAGACATATTTATGAGGAAAACAAGAGTCCCATAATTGTTTCCTAAATGCATGAGAAAGTTTGAATAATGCAATGGTTCTTTCATTTATTCAACAGAAACATAAAGTGATATGCCATTATTTGCCAAACCTCAGGACAGGCTTTGGAGAATCAAAGATGAGTAAATAACCATAATATCCCTCAAGAAGTTTACACGGCTTTGCAGAGGACACAAGCAAATATATTAAGTTAGATGTTTTTCAAATCTCTCCTCATTTTATACACTACCTATAATTGACCTTATCCACTCTCTTAAATTCAACACACACATATATGCACTTGATTTCCAACTCTTTGTTTTTACTCAGTTTTGTCTCTTAGATGCACGTTAACATATTCAGTAGTAAAGAAGCCACAGGAACTAGTGGGTTAAGATGTTTAATATGTAACTTACCATTCACCAACCAAATCGTCTCCTCTCTTATACTCCATTGTTCATAATGTTACAAATATTCACTCAGCCACTGTCCTAAAACTACAATTTTTACCTGCACTTCAGGTTCTGCTGAGCAATTTAATCCACACTCTTTTTTTTGTTATTGTTTTTATTTTTTTAAGTTTTTATTTAAAATTCCAGTTAGTTAACATACAGTGTAATATTAGTTCAGTTTAGTCCATATTCTTAACAGTTTTTAGCCATCTGATTTTCTTTATCATCACAGGTATTGTTTTGGTTGTTTGAACAAATATCTACCAATATATTTGGTTTCCTTTACCTCAGCCTTCTTTCATGTCACCAAAAATTAGGCCAACAGGTGGGTCAACAAGGGCCAAAAAAAAAAAAACGGTTTTGCTCTCTGTATTAGGACTTTTATGTTGTATATGACAAAAAGCAAAACCAAGTAGAGAAAAGGATTTGGGGGAGCAGTTATAACTTTAATCAAAGCTGAATTTTGAAGCTCAAACCCTATCATCAGGATCTGGTCTATGTCTTCCAAATTCTATTTATTCCCTCTATATTGAATTTACTCTCAGTTCATGAAGGAAACATGAATCTCCTGATATAAACTCCAGAAGAAAAGAGAACTTCTCTTCCCAGTTAAAAACAACACCAACAACACCACCAACAACACCAACAACAAAACACAACCAGAAAACAAAAACCAAAAAATTCTTATGTCTGCGTGTCATTGCTCTGCATTGGATCAGGTGCCCATATTAAAGCATCCCTGTGTTGGAGCTGGAAGGAAATGAAGCAGTGTTGGAGGCAAGTTTCTATATCTTACTGGAATTAACTTAGTATTAATCTGAAGTAGGCCATGATAGGGTAAGATGCATACTCTAATCACTAGAACAACCACTAGGGGGAAAAAAATTAAAAAACAAACAACAACAACAAAAGAAACCCACAGAAATAGGAAAACTTAACATTTTATGCTAGAAATATTTCTTTAACTCAAACAAAGCTAGTTAAGGAGAAAGGACAATGAAAACTACAGGCGACATATGGAAAAAAAACCAGTAATATGATAAATGTAAATACAGCTACATCAACATTAGCATAAAATGTTACTGTCTTTAACACCTCCATTAAAAGGCAATGATCATTGGACTGGATAAAAAGCAAGATTCAACTATTGGTATCAACAAGAGACATATTTTGGATACAAAGACACAAATATGGCAAAAGTAAAAAGATAGAAAAATATATACCATGCAAGCAGTAATCATAAAATAGCTCGTGTCTATATTAATATTAGACAAAATAGACTTTCAGACCATAAATATTATGAGAGAATGAGAAATTTCAGAATGATAAAAAGTTCAGTACATCAAGAAAGGATATAACAATTACAAATGTAAATGTACAAGAGCAGAGTTTCAAAATACACAAACCAAAATTGAAAGGATTAAAAAGAAAAACAGACAATTCAGTAGTTGTAGATTTTGACAGCTCACTCTAAATAATTGATAGAATAGCATGTATGTCACCAAAAATACAGAAGACATGGATGATACTATTAACCAACTTGACCTAACAGATATCTATAGACTATTTCATCTAATAAATGCAGAATACACATTCTTCTCAAATTCACACTGAAAAATTTTCTGGACATACAATATTTTAGTCCATAAAACAGGTATCAATACATTTAAATAGTGAAATAATAAAATATGATTACAAGAAATTATATTTGAAAACCACAGCAGAAAAAAAGTAAGAAATCAAGTATTGTTAAATTAAACTGCATACTTTCTAGGTATTTACCCAAAGAATACACAAATATAATTCAAAGAGATACAAGCACCCCAGTATTTCCAGCAGCATTATCTACAATGGCCAAATTATGGAAACAGCACAAGTGTCCATCAAATGATTACTGATAAATAAAACATGGTGTATATATATTATAATATATAATAATTTATTTATGTCTTTATATATACAAAGAATATGTCATATATATGTGTGGGGGGTGTAGATAGATGATACATAGATAGATAGATAGATAGATAGATGATAGATAGATAGATGATAGATAGATGATAGATAGATAGATAGATACTATGGAATATTACTCAGCCATAAAAAAGAATGAAATCTTGCCATTTGCAACAACACGGTTTGAGCTATAGAGTATTACACCAAGTGAAATAAGTCAGTCAGAGAAAGACAAATACCATATGATTTCACTCATATGTAGAATTTAAGAAATACAACAAATGAGCAAAGGGAAAAGAGAGAGAGTGAGACAAACCAAGAAAAAGACACTTAACTATAGAGAACAAACTGATAGTTATCAGAGGGGAAGTGGGTGGGGGGGATACGTGAAACAGGTGATGGGGGTTAAGGAGGGCACTTGTTGTGATGAGCACCAGGTGATGTATGGAAGTGCTGAATCACTATATTGTACACCTGACACTGATATTACACTGTAGGTTAACTGGAATTTAAATAAAAACTTAAATAAATAAATAGCACACTTTCAAATATCCCAAGGGTTAACCAAAAAATTCACAAAAGAAATTAGAAAATAAGTAGAACTAATGAAAACAACAACTAAAGAATCAAAATATGTGGAATAATATGTTGGCTAATTGAACATAATAATTAAATAAATAAATATAATAAATATATGGAATATACCTAAATTATTGCATTTATATCATTAAATACTTTATCAGAAATGATGGTCTCAAATAAGTAATCAAAGTTTTCACTTTAAGAAACTAGGAAAAGGGGTGCCTTGGTGGCTCAGTCGTTAAGCATCTGCCTTCAGCTCAGGTCATGATTCCAGAGTCTTGGGATCGAGTCCCACATTGGGCTCCCTGCTTGGCGGGAAGCCTGCTTCTCCCTCTTCCACTCCCCCTGCTTGTGTTCCTGCTCTCACTATCTCTTTCCCTGTCAAATAAATAAATAAAATATTTTTTAAAAATTTAAAAAAAGAAACTAGAAAAAGAATGGCAAACTAAACTCAACACACACACGTGTTCATGTATGCACACATGCACACACTTGTGTGCATGTGTGTACACACTCATGTTCATGTGTGCATACATATTAGTGTTCATGTATGTGCACACATTCGTGTTCATGCATGCACACACACTCATGTTCATGCGTGCATATACACATACACACACAAAGGAAACAATAAAGAGGAGACGAGACACAAATGACACAGAAATGTTAAAAAAAGCGGGGCGCCTGGGTGGCTCAGTTTGTTAAGTGGCAGCCTTGGCTCAGGTGGTGATCTCAGGGTTCTGGGATTGAGCCGCTGTTGGTCTCCCTGCTCAGTGGGGAGTCTGTTTCTCCCTCTCCCTCTGCCCCTCACCCCTGCTCATGCTCTCTCTCTCTCCCTCTCGAATAAATAAAATCTTTAAGAAAAAAAATGGTTAAAAAAGTAAATGAAATAATAAAGTTTGTTCTTGAAGAAAATCAATAAAATTGACCAAAGACAACTAAACTGTCCAAGAAAAAAAAAAGAGAAAAAGCACACCACCAAAATAAGGAATAAAAGAGGAGACATTACTGTGTGTGCTGTAGAAACCAGAGGGATTATAAGGGATTATTATGACTACCTTTATGTCTACAAATCAGGCAACTCTAAAGTGGACAAATCCCTACAATGACATTTATTATCAAAATATGACTTAAGAATGGTAAAAAATATAAGCAAACCTAGTACATATTTTTAAATATTATTTTAAGCCTTTTGAAAAAGAAAAGCCCAGAATGAGATGGCTTCACTGGTGAATTCTATCGAATATTTAAAGAATAAATAATACTAGTCCTTCACAATTTGTTTTTTGTTTATTTGTTTTTCAGGAAATAAAGAAAGAGGGAGAAAAATCTTAGTTTATTCTATGAGGGGGAAAAAAAGTCTTAGAATGTGACGTTCATTTGTCTGTGACCAAGCTGAATCATGAAGAGGTACCTGAGAAGTCCTTGGCACTAGATCACTGATCACAGAGCCCTCTAGACTAGCACTGGATACAGTACAAATTCTGCCACCATCAGATTTCTGCACTGCACTTGATAAATAAATATGAAATTGTCCCTTGTTATTTATTCCTATAATCTCTGACACACATACAAGAAAGGGGATACTGCAAGGCCAAAGGAACCTTAGTGTCACCACCAGGAAGAGCAAAGCAACATGGGAGAGAAGGAAACTCGGTCTTCATGTTTGTCAAATCTCAGATGCTGGGGCTTCTTCCTGAGTTACCTGCAGCATGTCTACTGTCGACCCCTGCAGCCGATGCTCCAGTTCCGAGACCAGGTCTCTCACCAGCTGGCTCTGCTGGACCAGCTCATCCTCCGTTGCAGCCAGGGTGTCAAGAATAGCTTTCTCCTCGCTCTCCAGTTTCTGCACCACCCTCAACTCCTCATTCTCCAGGATAGTCTTGAGTTTTTTAAACTGTGCTTGGACACCCCTTTTTTCATTTTGCATGTGATTCTTCAGAAATGAGAAAGAGAGGTACTCAGGCTATCGGCAGAGACTGGGAGTCAGAAAGAGAACTATTTTCTTTGGAAAGTTCTCACTGGGAAATGACAGAAGAGCAAGGGAGCAATTCTTGGGGAAACCAACTTTTCCTATTATTTTTTTGTCCATCACATTCCAAAACGATGATCTCAAGTCTGCATTATTGAGGCCAACCTTGAGCCCAAATAGGATCCTTGGGTGTGGCTCTATTTTCACGTAGCTGTCCAGGACAACCAAGACTCCTTGCTTTACTGCTGACCCCCATCCTCTCACCCTTGGCTGAAAGTTGAACAATGAAGACAAAACCATGAGTCATTGCTAAGTGTCTTCCCCAAGGAGGGTCAAAGACTCAAAATCACAACAGGAATGTAACACAGAATTCACTAGCCATCTTCTATGTGAATACCTCCCCCTAAACATCTGTGTTCATTTATAACATGTTCACTTTTCAGCCCCCACTTTATCAGGGAAAGGATAAAGAAGAGGACTAACCAAAATACTTTTGGACATATCAGACATATCAACTATCAGGGAACAAAAAGGAAGGGAGCTCCTTGTCACTAACACCCAAGGTCCTGTCTATATTTTTGTCTAACTCTCTCAGGAAGTATCTCCTCCTACCTTCCAGGAAGTTCTCTCTTCTCTGAGGGTAGCTTCCAACATCTTCGCTTCCTGCTGCTCCTCCCTCAGCTTCTGCAGAGCTGTCTGGAGCTTCTCCTATGAGAGAGGAGTCACACCAGAGTAAAACTGTCAGATTTCCCAGCATCAGCATAGAAGATAAATGGGGAAAATATCAGGCCAATCCCAAAGGGACTAGAGTTTACAGAATCAGTGAGAATAGCAATTAGAATCTATGACTTGGAAGAAAACCTGACGTGGTGAACATGTTCTTTAAGGCCCAGTGATGAGCAACAACTAATGAATTGTTGAACACTACATCAAAAACTAATGATGTATTATATGTTGGCTAACTAAACATAATAATAAAAAAATCTTTTCAGCATCTACAGAAATAATCACTTTTTAAATATATAAATGTATCAATTATATTAACAAAATTACATTCTATTCAGAAAACTATATTAAGAGATTTCCCAGTACTTAATTATACTTGCATTTAAAAAATAAACCAAAAATTAATCAAGAAAGAGAAGACCCAGGTGATAGACATCACCATCCCTTCATCAAAAAGAGGACTGATTCTCTTTGTACTATTAGAACAAACCAAACCCTGCAGCAAGGAAAGAACTTACATCTCCATCTACCCTCCTGTTCAGCAGGGTGATGAGGACCTCTCTTGAGCACTAAATCTCCACCCATCTAGCACAAGGCATAAAAGTATCTACTTCTGACTAAATCTGTACTATAGGTTTATCCTTTCATAATTTAATGGAATGCACAAAAATGTCCTTCAGGCAAAAAAATTTTTTTTAAATGTTCTTCAGGCCTTGAAAGGTGAGAATAGAAAGAAAAGACATCACAGGCCTCAGGCCTATGATGACAAGGTAATTAAAGTTGAGTGCATACACCACACACAAAAATAGACTCAAAATGGATGAAAGAACTAAATGTGAGACAGGAGTCCATCAAAATCCTAGAGGAGAACACAGGCAGCAACCTCTTTGACCTCAGCCGCAG